ATGATGATGATGATGATGATGATGATGATGATGATGATGATGATGATTTTGACGATGATTATGATGATGATGGCGTTGACGATGATTATGATGATGATGGCGTTGATGATGATGATCATGATCATGATCATGACCAGGTTGGTCATGGTTGAACAGTTGAAGTTGGCAGCCGTCCACCCGTTGGGTGCCGAGCACAAATCTCCCACGGGTGCCGTATCGAACCCCGGTCTAGTGGAGGCGGGCTGCGCACTGAAACCTCAAACCAAAGTACCCGGGCATCGTCGGGATGCCGCCGTGTAACACGTGGGAATCTATAGGATACATGCGAGTGTGTTTGAGTCTGAGTATTCAGCAATGCGGCACGGGAAGCTAGCACCTGCAGCAATAGGAAGCACAATGAAGCACGATTGGGCCAAGCTGACAACACAACCCACGCACTAACAAGCAGCAATGTGCAATTGTAGCTCCACACAAGAAGCAAAGGGGTAGAGCAATCACTGTGTCTGGTGTTAACCTGCCACTTCCTCAGCATGTCTGTGTGGAGCGACCTCCTTTTCCATCCTTTGCGACTTGCCAGAGATGAGTGGACAATCAGGATTCCTTTGGAGCTAAAGGAGTAACAGGGAGGAATAGTTACTCCCGAGCTACCTCCTTTACAACATTCCTCCCGGTTACTCCCGAGCTAAGCTCCTGACAGGATTCCTTTACAATGTCAGGAAAAACAACAGGTCCTCCCGAGCTGAGCTCCTGACAGACAGGTCCTTCACAAACAGTGTGTAGTCGCCGCTAAAGGGTCTAAGGTTTTCGGCACCTTTTGTTGCCTCTTCACTCGGGCCCTTCTTTTCTCACTGCGCGTCCTCGCCGTTCAGCCGAGGAAATCTTCGGAGACGACCTCCCACTTGGTCCCGGAGTCCACTTGGATCAATTCATGTGCAGAGTGAGGAGGAATTCATCCATGTGTGCAATTGTTATTTGTACTTACTCCATTTGCGACCCTAGTGTAAATGATTATTCCATACATGGACGGTCTGGGTATACTCTTTCAGGTGGATGCCCAAAGATGCAATGATGGTCGTGGTTTCCTGATCAAGTATAAGCTGTTTGTGGCGTAGTGTTTTTGCAGATGGGCATGTGAAGGGGCTAAGCCATTGATTTTGATGCCTTTAAATGGGAACGCCCTGCCACCCCAATGTGGAAGGATTCGGTTTGTTGGCGGTGTTGGCCGTCGTTGATTACATGGATTCGAGGCGTTGCCACTTCCTCGTATCAAAACAAGTGAGGATCCCAAACAGCTCAAGGTGTTTAAAAGAAAGGGCAGGAAGACCTAGGCTTTCCAAGCAAACATGTATACCAAGAAAAACACAGAAGCATCATTCAATTCTGACCCTTTTGACCAGAGATGGCTGTACCATCCACTTTGCTGGCCGAGACAAATCCTGTGGAGCAATGCGGTTGGACATGTCATTTTGATCTACATCCATACCATGCCACACAGAAAAAGTATTATCAAGGTCCAGTATGATTGAACTCGTTGTTTTTCTCTACTTGGAGGAAGATTTCTACCAAGAGTCAAGCCCATCCCACTAAGGTCAAGTTTTCCGGGCTATTCAAGCGCAGAAGATTGCTTCCAAGCATGCGCCAGCAGCAGTGCTTGCCAGGCGGCAGCTCAGCAGCATGCGAAACAAACACTGGCTGTGGCTGAAGTTGTTCGTTGGAACGTTGGAACGGGTTGCATTGTCTTTGGGAAACAAGGTTGTTCGGTTGTTAACGGTTGAACGATGATGGTTGTTCGGCAGAGTCCGTTGGAGTTGAAACCAGGACTGATACTAACAGGATCAACCAGGACTCCTGAATGGAGGTGAATGATGGAGGTTCTCCGATATTCTTGCATGCGAGAGAAGCTTCACCACGGAGGAAACCTCTTGAAAGCAAGTACCCAGTTCCATCATTGGTTCAGGCTTGGATCCACCAACAAAGGCACATCAGGGATCCTCATGAGCATACGCTGGGATCCTCGAACGCGATCCCAAATGCTAAGTGTTAGTGAGTTTCCGTTGGTATCTCTGAAAGAGGTCATATATTACGTACATTTATGTAATACCTGTTTGATCCTGTTTGGATCTAGTTAATCTCCGGCTTTCAAGGGTACGCCAGGGAAGGTTTTGGGTAGAGGTCAAGTTATCAGACTAAAATATGTAATTGAATATGTATCTTTGTGTGCTTGTGGGTGCGAATATGTAACTGGTGCAGCTCCAAGTCGTGTTCATTTGGTGGCATGTGGCACTTGTCAATGAAGGCATTTACCTACCTTCGCATTGTATTTGGGGACTGCACGTATATACAGCTGTAGAGTGTATTGCATTGGATGTAATGGGGTAATACATCATAGATTGGTAAAGCAACGTCTAGGCAGCGTGGTTATCATGTGGGTACACTTTTATCCGACACGCACAAAACACTGAGGTCTTCATTTGGCAAGGCAACAGCCACGCAAAGCCAAGTTGTGTCTACATGTCCGACTTGTGTGAAGTGAACGAGGAGCACTGCCTCCCTGATGATTGGTGCGCCTACAACAAGCCAAGCACGTCGACCACGTCTCGGACGCTCTCTCCGTCGGTCTCCGGGCACGCGCCAAGCGCCGGGAACGTAGCCGTCTGGTCGGCCGTGATGGCCCTGATTGGACACTTCTGGCTCTGAGTAGATGATCTTGGATGATTGGGAAAATATGGGCTGATCCTCCGCAAAAGAGGGTCTTTGAAAGAGCTTGGGCCAAAGTTTGCCCATGGCAGTTTCTTTCTGGATCTGGTGGTGTTTCACGATGTGTTCAAGACATTTCAATACAACTCCACCTGAATTGGTGGATCAGTGATAGTCGGCTCATCTTCACCCCGCTGTGCTTAGTGCTTTGTGCGGCGGTCGGAGCGTGAGGCCGGCGCCTCCCATACGGATCCATCAGGTCCTTCATCTCCCAGTTGAATCCCGCAATCCAATCGGGTGGTGAACACTTCCGGTGAGAACCGGTAAGACATCGGACATTCTGGCAAACCCGGCAAACCCTACCAAAGCGTGTTTCTTGCGGCACCTGCCAAATGTGGGCACCGACCCTTCCGGGTGTTTAAGTGACCCAGTCCCGCGTTGGAAGTCCATGGGGAGCAGCTTCGGGTCTCAAAGGAACGCAATGCAGAGAGGTCTTCAATGGTCTCCAAGTTGAATTGGAAGCGGTTCTTAATAAGAACTATTTGATGTGAACCTTGGTTTTTTGTCAAGGGTCTCTGTGAAAATTTCAAGTTCCCATTCAGAACCCTACATATGTAGGATCTAGAAAGGATCCAATGACACACGTTGAGTGAACGTGTTTTCAGCACTTTGACCGGTGAAGCAGGCGGCCCTCAAGCAGATCGAGACGCCTGAGACGCCTGAGCGCAAGCAAGTTGTGGAGAAGTTCGTGGTGTTCAGGCGTTTGCAGGTGTATTTGTTCGTCAAAAGAACAATTGAGCCGCTCTAAAAACCTGCCTTTACATCTTAAGTAAGGACCTTGTCATATCGAATTCCGCGTAAGCAAAACCCTGGGTTGCGTAAGACTGCGTAAGCATTTCGCGTAAGCATTTCGGAAGTTTGCTCTGCGTAAGCAAAAGTGAGGGCCGCGTAAGCAGCGCGTAAGGCCTCGCGCAAGGAAAGTGATACGACATAGGGAGTGACTGCAGGTTTTTAGAGTGGCTCAATTGGGAGATCAAAGAAGTGTCCGTGTTGATTAGACTGAATTCATATCTTTTAATTTGCACATTCAGTATCTTCTTCGTTACGCGGTTGGTGATTCTTTCAGTCAATCCTCCCTTTTGAAGCCAAGAGGTGGATTCTTTCAGTCGCCACGTCTCGGGGAGAGTCTTCTTATTCTCATTTGTGACCTAAGCCGCTTGCGGCAGCATTCTTTGGAGCCAAGGGTCACATGTCCATGGAGCCCTAGGGACTGCTGGCATAAGGCCTTATTGGACCACCATGCAAGAACAAGAGACCCATCCTGCGCATTCCGAATGCTTCTCAAGCCTGCGCAGTGTCCTCGTCCTCTTCTCACCCAGAGGCGTTCTCTCATGTGAAACTGTTCGCCTAGAGCTGGAATGTTCTGCCTCAACGCATGATGCGATGCTTTGACCGATCCTCGCGTGGACACCGAGATGCCATGCCGTCCCAGCTCGACTGGGGTCCGAGGATGGCGGAGATGGGCGCTTCTCAGGGCCGAGGGCAAGAGGAAGACGTAGGCGCCGGGCGTTCCGTTCCCGAAGAACCCCCTGCGCCGGACGGTTTTTTTTCTGCAGGTCTGGAAGAAGTGAGCTGAATTGATGTGGGTTTGAGAAATGCGCCAGGATAGGCGAGCTTGGTGAATTAGACTTAGAAGAGATGCTGGAATGACCATGTTTCAAGTTACACATTCCATGAAACATATCCAGTTGGATGACCCACATTCGCGCCAGTATTGGCACCCATTCGTACACAGGTTCAATGCATCCGGAAGTCCCACTCAATGAATCAGTGGATGGCCGTTCTGGAGGCAAGGAAGAGACCATCCGACTCATTATCTAAAGTCTTGGATCCCTTAACTTCAACTATATAAGAATACTTGAAATCCTTGCAATAGGTCAATGAATAGGAATTGTGTTGTTTTTTTCCAGTTGGTAGACAGATGGCCGAAGGAGCCCGATGAATCCAATGGGAAAAGCCACTAACCGTAGACGAGTAGGCGAGCACGTTTCAGCTTTTGACTCGAGGAGCTTTGACTCTCATTGAGACCAGATGTTCCCCTTTGGTCAGTTGGTCAACATAGGACAGAACCTGGTGACACGCTAGTGACCAGCTTCCAGCGAACCCTCTCCAACAGGTTCCAAGAGACTTTCCAGTGGGCCTTTTCGCCGATCTCATGGCGCGTGTTTTAGCACCTCTCTTTTTCGCCCGGCTTTAGCCGGCTGGAGATATATCGGGTGCCTCTCTAGCGCCGCTTCAGGGCTTTCAGGAGCAGCTCCGAAGACTCCGCGGCGCTCAGCGGGAGTCGTGTCAGGTCTTCTCCGAAGGCCGGTGGAGTTGGAGACTGATTTATACCAAGACTCTGCCAAGTGAACACACGGGCGAGCTCGCTGCCAATCAGACAACTACCAAGTCGTGCAGTTGGTCCTGGACTTTTGTGCGCTTTGGGCTACTCCTTGCATGTGAGAACAATCGAGTTGTTGAAGTTCCGCAGCTCAGGTACCACTGCATTCCAATTCAGGTGCAGACACCGACCCTCCACTTATGTATCGTGCAGCAGCACGGGGCTACTTGGAAGTGGTACTCTTGTTGCTCGAAGCTGGAGCTGCTGAAGGACTCAAAATCCGATGGCTGGTCATCACCAGGTCGTGGGAGGAAGAGTCGAGGGAAGGTAGGAAAGAGAGCTGCAGCTTGCAGTCCTTGAAGTCGGCGCTTGCCAGTGATGCGCTTGTTGCTCCAGGCCGGAGCTGATGACATCGTGATCGTTGCAGTGGCAGATGGGACAACCGCCTGGAAGCGGTGCAATTCTTGCACTAAGGGAGTGTGATCATGGAACGTCAGCTGCTTACTGCACCTGTTGGTTTGCTCTCGTGACCAAAATAATGGCTTCCAATGGATTCCAGTTGAGTCCAAGGGACAACCATATTTGCTGATCAGTTGGGGTGGTTGGGGGAGCCAATGTATATGGATGTATATGGCATGCATGCAGCGTTTGGGAATTTGATGGAATTTGTTATGTTACTCTAATCTTATGTTTTATACAAACCGATATTTTAACATGTTATCTATGTGTATATGCTTATAATCCGGTTATATAAAGAATGAAACACATATCCCAATTTGTTTCCCTTGGCTTTGAAGGGTTCCCAGATCTTCATGGCACGTGCCCGCGGACGGAAGGCCACTGGCTGACGGAAGTCACAGGCTGGGTGATAGCTGCGATGGCTGCGAGTGGACAGAATTTGATGGAACTGAAATGGGATGTGCGTGTGATTTAAAGATGAGTCTCACTTGTGCTTGGATGTTCCCTATTCATGTTTTCGGTCCTTTTTGATTTACTGGCCGGTGACCCCAAAAATCAATGCAGTGTGGGGATGTGCGGAATTCTAAAACATAGTCGGACTATCTACGGGCCATTGTCAATTGTGTAATGCTGTCATGGTACTAGATTTCTGGAGTGGAGTTTGGTTGGTGACTACAACAACCTCCACCCTGGGAAATGGCACGAATTGTCACGAATAACATGACTTGGACGTTTGACGATCCCGTCGTGAAGTTGTAGGACTTTGTTCATTTGTTTGGCACGCTCAGGTTTTGGCATCAGGATACTGCGGTAGCCAAGACAGACTCATCTCAAGAGTTATATAGAATCATTTGATTCTCATCGTCTCGCCTAACCGACCCTAACCTGCCAAGAGGATTGAGGCGATGGTTTTCCTATAGCAAAAAGCTCGATACGACCACCATGTCGCGCCTGGGCACGCTTGTTGGCCAGGCGGCAAGAACCATTTGCTACTTGGAGTACTGAAGTCAACCTGAAGGGATAAGGAATTGCAGGAATTGCCTGAGTGACTCAGACTCGGTGTCCTTTCTTTCTTTGGTTTGTCAGGGTGGTCAGGCTTTGAATCAACAGCTTGCTTTGGGTGATTTCCTCATGTGTTACTCGGTGCTTTCTTCGGTTTGATGCCTTTAAGGGACACGTCTGACATCAGTTTTGAATAGTTTTCATGGACAAACTATAGGAGTGTTTTTGTCTTTTTTCAAAACTTAGAGTGATCGATACGTCAGCTGTACAAGTTAAGTCATAGTTTCTTTCCGACTTGCTTGGGATCTTAAAATAAGGGAGATCAGCAATGTGCAGAACGAGGGTCGGGAAGGTGATTGACCCATGCGAAGCACCCGAGCGTCCACTGTTCGAGAAAGAACTTCTCAGCACGTGCGTCCATACACTGCGGCCCTTTTAGGTTCATTGAAGTGGTTCTTTTGACACCCACACTTCACCAAGGTGTAGCTTTCTCAAAAGAGTCTCCATGTTTGGCCGATTCTTTTATATTCATTCTGCAATTGACCATGCTGTAGTTTCGCGACGCCCCGGATCTCAGCAACAATCCTAAATCACTAGATGTCACATGCATGATTCTTGCCTTAAAACGCACAAATTGTGGCATCCCCACAAGGAGGAACACCCTGGAAAAGCAAACACTTCCAGAAAAGAACCCTGTGATTGCGTGTGCGGAGAAACTGCGAAAACACGCGAAAACAACGAACATCATCAAACATCATCCGTTTGGCCGCTCTCCAACTCTTTGGCCGCTCGGTCCAGCCGATCGCCTAGGAAGTTCTACCGGAATTTGCAGGTTGGTGCGAGCAAAAAGAAGGAAGTGCCTCAAGGCTGACCAACTGCGAAATTCGGCCGATTCAGAAGTGTATGAAGCAATAGAGCAGAAGCCATAAACGGGGCCATGGGATTTGGCCGATTCAGAAGTGTATGAACAGAATTCTGGTGTTAGCAGATGTTGTCCTTGCCCTGTTTGTTGAGAGCGGGCGTGTTTGGTGTCTAACGGAGACACAGGACAGAGCAGTTCCTTCTGGAAGGTGCTTTTTGCGCCCATCCCAATGATTCCTCAATGGGACCAGAGGTTCTCCCCTGCCGTGCAAAGAACATCAAAAGCCTGCCGTTTTCTCCGGGAAGGACACTGGAAAAACTGCCTCAGTTATAATTATAGATGATGACATCATTTGTTTTCAGGCATTTTCAGGTACTTCCTGCCGGGTGACGCAAGCTTTCCTTCCATTTGTGGAGCTGAAAGGTTTCAAGACCATGGAGTGGATTTTCGTCGGTCCGAGCTCCTCTTCCCGAGTCAGCTCCTCTTGGCCCCTCTCGGTCAACCTTTTCCCCGGAGCATAGCTAGGATGTCTCTCAGCATAGCCAGCATTGCGGGGGCCTCCAAGGTAAAGATTCATCATGACTCATGGCTGATCATGATTGACTTGTCCTTTGCTGCGGCAAGTAGTCGAACCAGAAGGACTGCAGTAAATAGTCAAACAAACTTCAGATCAAGCCAATGTTCAATGCAAAAGGAAGTCACTGTGTTGTATCAATGTTTGCACTAGAGATACAAATGGAAGCTAGACTGAAATCCATTGACTACGAAAAACACATTCAAACAAAACGCATGGAAGATGTGTCTCCCCATCGAGGCGTCAAAGCTGAATTGGATGGCGCCATCGTTGCTGAGGGCGAAGGTGATGAACTGCCACAGCTCCAAGCGCTGCTGAACTGAATGTCTTTCCAGATGGCTTGGCATAGTTGCTGCAGAAAACATGATTTTCCACATGGAACACAAAGACTTTTAAGATTTGCTGCGGACTCAAATAGGCAACTGTTGCTTTTGCTGCCTTTTTGGATGCCAATTGCCGCAGGAACTGTCCAATACTTGGGAACTGTGAATGGTTGTCCTAGATGTTTAATCTGTGCTTCTTACGCTTCTTATTTGTGGAGACCTATGCTTCTGGGCCAGGGTCTCCGTGAAAGGTGGTCTCCGCGGCACGTCTCAGAAAGATGGGGGTGGAGTTTCCCCTAGTAGGGGTCTTTTGCTAGTTGCTATCCATCATGGCACTGATCTATTTATTTACATTGGAGCGGTTGAAGAGTTCTGGTGCGTTTTTGGGCATAGATGGGGTAGAGTCGGACAATTGCTTAAAGCGATGGTGTGGCATGCGGCATGCGGCATAGTGTGGAAGGGCACTGGTTTTATCACACCAGAGGTCCACTGTTGACACAAGGAGATCGCCTTGGTTCTTCAGAGACTGCCTTCTTTAGAGTCACTGATACTCCTCTCCGCATCCCAATTTCGAACCAGTTTCAGAACACCCACTTCACACTTAACACGATGTCATGGCATTCAAAAGCGCTGTTTGACGATGATTTTGGAGGTGTGTTCGTGGTTTGGACACTCCCACAGCCCCCGATCGCGGAACTTCGACACCTTTGCTCGAACTTCGGTGCCGCAACCATTGAGGATTGTGGAGTGCAAATGGGGACTCTCGATGTATGGTGATCTACAGAAGATGGACGCTTTGCTCCACTTCCTTTACGACGCATGGCCGGACGCGTGACCTGAAGGCGCCTTGTTGGGGAGTCTGAGGAGCGAAGGGTAGACGAGACGTTGCCAAGGCCCGGGTTTGGGAGCATGGTAAACATCGTTGGACACGCTTTCGTAAATGGACAAACGCCACAAAGTTATACTCCAGTGTTTGGGTATCAAGTAAGTACACAGCAAGTTTTTTTCGAGATGGATCCGCTTGTGATTTTGCCATGCGAAGATGATTTCTTGGACCGAGGAGAGTGGCGAGGCGCAGTTCCAAGTGGGCCGCTCCGGGATCTTTGACAGATGGGGAGTGGAAAGAAGGGTGGGATCGGCAGTTAGAGTTAAAAGATCGGCAGTTAGTTGACAAAGGATCGATAAAGAGCTATATTATGTTATATTTAATCGACATATATCGACATGTTAATGTTCGCTTTTGTCTTTGTGTTTCCCAACAAACTCATGTCGACTGTTTTGTCTCAGAAAGACCAATCTGGACATGTATAACCTGCGGCTGTTTTGCCAGCCTTCTTGCTATGCGGAAGTAGTCCATGTTGTTTGTTTGGTCACGGTCCCATCGTTTTGACCCACCGCCGTCTTTGGAGCTCCTTGGAACCTGTGGACTTTCATCAGCGGGGAACGGAGCTGGGACCGTCCGCGGTCGAGGAAGTCCTTGAAGCTTCAACTCCCGAAGGGCCTGGAGGCGCGGTCCACGGCGCGCCGGAGGGGCGTGGACCGGAAAAAGCGGAGAACCGGAGGGCGTTTGGTGAATTGGGACTGGACCAGGGCGTTTGGTCGACCTCGATGATTGGCCAGCGGAATCGCTCTGAGAAGATTTGGAGATCATATAGCTTTGCTACACCGCAGGAGTGTTTCCCAGACGCCTAGGGTGTAGCAGTATAGGGTGTGCATTGGCGAGATTCTCAAGATAATCGCTAGCCGTTCGAGTGTATGATGTACAATATTTCAATATGTCTTTAATGACATAGGAAAATTCATGTGACACACTTGTCGTCATTCTGAGAGAGAAGATTCTAAACACAACCTCTCTGGCGACAGGTGAAGTACTTCATGGGACACCTCCCAGATGGTGAAGGAGAAGGCTATCGAATGCTCGTTCGGGAGATCAGTAGATCGGAAGACCATCGGTTGGACTCGCACGACCCATGCTAAGAGCATGAACATCACAGAGAATCTTGTTACATTTTGTTACAAGGTAAGGATGAGAAAGCTGCATCATCCGAATCAACGAATCGGCCCCCCTGGATATAAGCTACGCTGGCTTGTCCTGTCAGGTAGATATTCATGGTGTTCTTCCAGTTTGTGGGTTCTAAAGAGGCTTCACCAATGACCCAGAACTTTATGTTCAGATGCTTTCTTTTCAGCCATTCCTGTGAGGTGGGCTGCCCGGAGGGCTCATCCAAACATTGACTGTTTGATAGCAACCTCAGTGTTCCATCATATTTACAGTGAAAATAGGCTTTTTGAAATGCGATGTGTCCTTGAAACTCTAAGAAATCCGGATACTTTTTGTTATCATACCCAGACAGGCCCAGACATGACCCATGGGACTGCCATAGGAGGTTGACAGGGGGGTCAATGGGGCGCAGTCCGTCCTGGCAGTCCCATGGGTCGTGTTTGGGATATATTGTTTCACGTTCGATCCTGAGGGAGACACCGAGACACCTGCTCCATGATCGCCACAGGAGATAGCCTTGATCGCTTGTTGAGGCGGGGTGAACCCGGGTTTTTTCGCTGAATGGGAGCTGGGGGTGTTCGTCATGTATCTGGGATCTCGAGACCATCAGCACTTGCCAGTTCGTATTTAGAGACTCGCTGGTCAGCGCAGTCGAGACCTCCGCCACCAGGCCCTCAGCACTACGGCAAGAGAAGGGGCGCCTGCTGTCCAGCACGCTGCACGACTTCGATGGGGCGCACGATGGCGCACGGGCGGTGGAGAGGTTCTCACCAGAGAGGTGCTGAAACACGCGACGTGTGAGGTTTCTTCGGTTGGAAAACGGACACATTGGAAGAGGGCACCCTGTGACTTTGAGCAACTCCCAACAGGGTTTGAAGCCGCAAAAGCAGAGATTTGTGTTGTGATACGGTATTTTCTTGGAGTTGCCAGTGGGTTGGTCTTGCTGGCCCTATGACTTTGAGCCACTCGAACCCTGTCTACCTTGAGGGGTGGTCCAAGTAAATCATGATAATAAGCAAATCTTTCCTCGATGTCATGTGAAGATGGAGGGTTGGGTTTGGGAAGCTGCAAAGGGGTTGTGGATGATTGGATGCCACTTTTGTGGAGGAACAGTGATTTTTGGACATGCCAGACCAGCCATTTTTCGACCTCTCAGCAAGGTTCTCCCCTGGCTGTGCAGCCCGCGCGAGCATGGAGTTGGTGGTCACCTGGATGCAGATGTGAGAAAGGGCTTGCTGATGTTGAGCACGATAGGATTAGATTCGATGGTCATACTTGTTATAGCAGCACCTTCCAACAGGTCTCCTTTGGAGGGTTGTTAGGCCCTAACAGGTTTCAATTGGTGACCTGTTGGAGGTGCTGGTAGCAACTGTCGTTTCATGTGGGTGAAGTCCCAAGGGTCCCAAAGAAGTTCTGACCATGCTCCCTGCCTCACAGACAAACACAAATGAAAAGCGAGATGGAAAGTATGGAAGAGCAAATCCGTTTCTGGTTTACGGGGTGTACTCGTGCACCTAGTGCCATCCTCCCCCACCAAAGTCTACCAACCTTTTCTGCTTGCTTATAAACATATCGAGGGTGTGTTGCTCGGTCATGCTATGTCGGTGCCTTTGAACGGAACGAAAATACATAATCTGAAGAAGATTGAGCACATGCAACGCCAGGTTTCAGGTTCTCTATTTGCTTGGTTGCTGACAATAAACGCAAGAAAACGTTTATGAAGATCGGACTTTTGCGTTTGAAGGGTTGAGAAGGACCCCAAGAGGTGCTTAGCGCCGCCCAGGAAGCTCCGAAGGACTTCCAGGGCCCCTGGGCAGTGCTGGTGGAGCTGCCAGAAGACGAGGCGTGTCGTGTCCTGTCATGGCTCCATGTCCCCCAATTCCCCAAATCTGGAGCTGGATGAATGCCAACTTGATTCCAGGCGAGGCTCATCCCAGTCAGAAAGAGGGAGAGACACCTGATGACCCCTGGCCCTGACCACTTGACCATAGACCACATGCATTTTGCGTTCGGCACGTGCGCAGGTGGCACGTGCGCAGGCGCGGGTGGATGCCTTTTTGCAGGACGATGGGAGTGATGCCCTGGAAGAAGCACGTCTGTGGCGGAGTCGAACAACCCGAAATGAACGGGTGCAGTACTGGCAAGCGCAACCAGTTGCTATCCATTAGCCATTGACATGATCCACATTTGCAGTTAATGGGTGTCCTAACGTGGGAGAACATGTGTCAGGAGATGTCAGCAGCTATTTTTGGTTTCTCCAGTCATTCGGAACCATATGGTGCTGCAGGACGTACTGCAGCGCATGGAGCGTGGCACACTCTCCATCTACGTGCGCGCCACGAGTGAACATAAAAAACAGAGCCGTGGCGCAGCAGCTGCGCGGTAGTGCGTTTGTGACGCGCTGGGGCAAGTTAGTTGGTGCATGGAACAACCCACCACCAATCCAAAAATCCATAGCAACACCCATATCCACCTTCGTGGCCAAGTCCAGCCAAGTTCAGCTTGTTTAGGACCTCGATTTTGGGGGGGTTGATGTCGGTTATAACAAGTGGTTCAAGGAACCAGAGAGCCTAAGAGGTCCCACATTTTTGAAGAAGGACTGGTTCAATGTTCACAGCTGCCGGGCTATCCAGTGAATGACTGGCGAGGAAATCTGATGACAGATTCTTGCCATGAGAAAACTTTCCTCCTTTGGAAACTGTTGCCGCACCCCCCCCCCACACAAAACATGGCCAGAGCAAGTCTTGGTGCCCTTTGCATCAACATATGTAGTGTAAGAATAGCTATTTCAACCAGCACTAACTTGTCTAAAATACAATATGTTGATAAAATCCTGAAACAGCAAACCAAAGAAAGCAATCATTCAACCCTGTTGATTCCTTCTTCATTGCAGTGAGTTTACTGCACAAAATCCCGTCACTCACTGCCTTGGTCCTTTCTTCGTTCCATACGTTTCACTCGTCGGACAGTTCTATACCGTTTCGGCCAGGTCTTGGCACATCCCTGCAACTTGGGCTACCACAACCTCAGCCCGGGGCCCCACACAGAGTGGGCCACCTTCTCGGGGCACTCTCGGGTGGCTGAACTCGATCGTCAATTTGTTTAGAAAAGTCATGTTTTTATTGTTCAGTTTTTGGGTGAATGGTCCATTTCATTTGATTGGAGTAAATCATTTGGGCATGTGTTTTATATAGCCTTCACCATGTCCACAGTCCACAGTCCGCAAGAAATTCCCGAACAAAAGAGATTCAGATCTGAATCTATTCTTCATCACTGACGAAATGTGCCTCCCATGTGCCCAACGGAGTTGCAACTCATTCGCCACTCATTCGCCAAAAAAAGAACCAACTGCGCCATCCTTTGCCCAGGTAACCTCATCCTCTCTCGCTTTGCGGGGCAGCAGTTGAAGAACCTGGCGGAGCTCGCGCGGGCGGCTCCTCGGTGCGAGGAACGTCGCAAGCGCAGCCGGCGCCCGTCGCCATGGACGAATCCATGGCAAAAAAACAACCCAAAAACCCAGGCAAAAAGGGGTTTTGGAGCTAGGATCGGGGTGGAGGAGATGCTGGGTGGTGTACGTTGTTGAGTCTTTCGTGGGCGGCACATGGCTTAGTCTTCATACCAATAGCTGTCAATCAATAGCTTGAAGTCCTGTATCAAAGGCTTCAGATGTGATCCTGATAGCCTCAAGTTGCATTGGGCTCCATACCTGCACCTGTACTGTATCTAGATAATCTTGGAATCCTTGTAAAGTATTATCACATCTCACATTATCAATATCAAATAAATTGTTGTTTTGTAGTATAACTAGGCCATCAGTGCCCTCCCAGAGCCACAGACCGATCGAAGAATGTGATTTGATGTGGGAAAAGAAAGCAAAGGGCATCGCTACTAGTAACAAGGGCATCGCCACTAGGAGCGTTCGGACGCTACGGTCGGGGCTCCTGGCCTTACTACGAACGGAGCGATCGGAAGCTACGAACGGAGCAAAGGGCATCGCTCCGTTTCCTGCGGTCATCGGCCGTCCCAGTGAACTGACCCCGACTTCGACCCCATGGGCCGCCCCGGAGACGTGCCGACGTGTTGAGTGAGACACCAGGTCGGTAGGAGGATATCCCTGGTAGCATGAGGTGTTTTGAAAGGTCAATGAGTTGTTTTGAAGTGGTCCATTTACTCAGGGTGGTGACTGTTGTTGTTGTTGTTGTTGGTTGTTGTCAGTACGACTTCAAGGCGTTTTCCGATTCGGACTGGTCTTTTGGGCTGAGTTGGGCTGATGGATGCCGATTCCGCGCTCTTTTCGTTCCTTCCCCAGGGCCGGCCTCGAGGCCTTTTTCGTTCAGGATCGATGTGATGGTGGACCAATCATGGTGATGTGAGGAGTCCAATGGTTTAGCTGATGACAATACTCTATCATTCACAACATTTGGGAATCCGACTTCTTTGCAAGGGCTCCATTGCTGAGGCCCATTTGATGTTGAGCCCAGCTGTTTTGGGCGAGAAAGCTTGAGCTGTGTGTCTTCGACCTTTCTGTGTCCGTTTCAGCTTCAGAAAGTCTCCGTTTCGGCCAGGTCACAGAGCAACGTGTCCACTTCCGTCGACATGCAGCTGCGCAAAGCGACACTCGAAATTACTAGAAGCAGGCTGAACCTAAGATGCAAATGCAAAGCACTGCATAACTGCTGGATCCTGCAAGATTGCACACCCCCAAGGCAGGCATTGTCCTCGAGCAACAGGCAAAATCTTGCCAGCTGCAATCTGGGAGCCTGCATGACCTCAAGCCGCAAAGAAGCTGCAAGCGTTGGTAGGCTTGGTGCTCCAACTTGCCATGGCCCTTGCTCTCTGGCCCTTGCTCTTTGCACAGCAGACTAGCAACTCCATCGCTGACAGTGCGCTTTTGCTTTGCACGTAGGTCCTAGGTCGACACGCAGGCTGCTCGGTCCGAATGCTTGATTGCGCGCAGCGCTTCGTAGTTCACTTGCGGCCACAAAACTGCTGCGAAGCAGACCTGAGGGGAAGGGACTTTGGAGAGAAACCTTTTTCGGGTGTTTGAGCGTCTAATTTTGCGCACAGTTTTGACTCGATGCCCTTTTTGGTCTGTTCAGAACAGGTTTTCCGGCCCTTGATGATTCGCGGCCAACTCTGCATTTTCTGAGGTCTCGCGATGCGAAGAGGAGCAGTTGGTGTTACTTTGCGCATCCTGTGGGTGTGAGATGGGCGGGTGTTTGCTATTTGGAGATGTTGAACTTAAGACAACACCAAAAGGCAACCAAGACGTGATTCACGGTTGAGCCACAAACCCTCATCATCCCAGGGGCCAATGTCATGGTCAGCGAACCAACAAACGTGGTTCGCACGGTTGGGGTTTTCGGCCTGGCACCAATCCATGGCACAGATAACTTCAATCGCTGGAAGCCATGACGAATTGAATTGGGAAACAATTGGCTGGGGTTCTCGGAATTTAGTTCAATTCACCCACCCGGATCCCACTTTGTTATTATCATACACTCGATTTCCATGACTGTCAGAAGTCAGAAACTTAGTTAGTCCACTCTCGTTTTCACTTCCCTAGGCCACAGCCACGATGCCTTTGCGTCCACCATGCTTGCTTCTCGAAGGTTCCACTTCCAGCGCCCTCACGGCGATGGCGGGGAGCTGGTGGTCTTGGATCGTCATGAGGCCCATGACGCCGAAGCTGAGGCGCGAAGAGACACCCGCGATGTACCGCGCGAACGATGTGGGATCGGAAGATGTGGGGCTGAAGACGATGGGCAGAAAGGGGTGGCACGGGGTTGATGTCTTGGTGGACTTGGAATTGTTGGGCGCAAGGCACCAGATGTTCAAAATGAGATGCGCTGACGAAGAACGGTCCGTATGATGTTATTCGCACAAGTCAACTTATAACTTATGAGCCTAATTATACATCTACTCCACTCTTGGAAAGGGAAGACTTCAACAGATTGATTTTTTGCCGAACGCAGAAGTGGACAGGCAATGTTTGTGTTGCTCCGCTCCCTTCAAAACACAGAGTGAGGCGCAAGTCATGATAGGGCATTTCCTGCCCGTGCATGCATCCTCTTTCACCGTGCACATGCACAAAGTGATGCATTCCCTGTAACAATCATCATGGAAGTGAAACATTGAAGAGTATGACCCCTTGGATGACCATTCTTCTCTACAAACATGTGCTTATCTCAACCTGTTGATGTTGCTCTATTGCAGGCGCCTGTGTTGAGAACGGTCCCCAGGTCTGAAGATGATTAGACCGGGTTAGTGTCACCTGCTTTGTGTTCCCCCTTCTTCTTGGTGGGTTGGTGAAACCCTGGGCCTCTGGGCACCTTTCTGACTTCGCTCCTTGGTCTGTATGTTGGGGCTCGGGTTTGTGACCCTGTACTTATTTTGGGATGGGGGAATTGAAGCTAAAGTCCTTTTGGTTCAATCATTTTGTTGAGGACAACATGCAGTGCATTACTGTGATGTGACTGGTTGTCCAGTGGACACTGTGGTTGCTTGATTTTTGCCCCGCCCGCCTCCTTAAAACTAGGGGGGTGTTATTGCCCTCCATTACTGATGTTCTGTTTTGGCCATGTTGGTGATCTGTGCGACACAGATGTGGGCCTCATGGTGGAGAGACGTTGAGTTCTCGGCTCATTTTCCTGACGGTTTGTCACTAATTTGGGATTTGTCCACCAGGATGCCTCTAATAAGCTTTGCCACTTCCATGATTATTTCAGGGAGTGTCGATTATGAATATTTCCGCGACTTTGCCTTAATTATGGGAAACCAACATGGACAGTGAGTGAGCCGACAGATCTTAGCGCAGCACCTCATCGGGGCGCCCTGCATGGTCGGGACTCCCAGTCCGATGTGGCCCGAACTTGGTGCGTGTTTTGCCGTTTTGAGGGGCGGTCATCTCCCCAATCTTTGAGAAAGTCATATGGGCCACTTATGTTAGAATTCACCGGTTGAAGATTATATTATAGGTTCTGGATTTATACCGCCCCAATTTGGATGCGCTCACCTCTTCATATCAAAAGTCTACATTACGTGTGCTTAGGCCTTGACCCTGAGTCGCAACGTGAGCCCTTTAATTGACTCTAATTCGGCCGAAGAGTTCAAATTCCGGTGCAGAACGGTTGTAGTTCAAATTGATGGGCTAAGCCACAAAAGGACCTCAACCACAAGACCAGACACTGCCAGACAACGATGCGCAACACTTGGTGTATGACATTCATCGAGGTGTTAAGGTTCCCGTTGATCAATTTATCCACCTTCAACATAAAGGGTTCTTCCTTCGCATTTGTTGCAGACACATCCCGAAGGCAAATGCAACAGTCGGTTGCCTTCACATGATCAAGAAAACTCTTAGGAACTTTCTTTTATCAACATCTACTTCATCATCCCAAGAAGATTCTCTCTTTCTAAGGTTTCAGATGTTCCAAGATCTCATATTTCATCGGCAGGCACACCGGGGGGATAGGAGCCCTCAGCATTGTTTCGTCCACACCCAGGTTCAGATCGTTTCGCTCGAAACGTTCGAGTCGTCGCCCAAACCAGTCGAGGTGCGCTGCGATGGCCAGGGCGAGCCAAGGCGGGGCGGGGCGAGCCGAAACCTCAAGTATGCCTATAACAACTGCGACATTGGGTGGCGCAATGGGCTATAAAAGAACAAACACACTTTTGCACGCAAAATTAGAGAAAAAACACACCAAGGAGGTTTGCCTGAAAAGAAATCTCTCAATGTGGTTGCAAATTGTTGAAGCATCACACTGACCAGTACACGTTTTTGATGATTCATGACACCAGGGGAACCTTTTCGTAGGCATCGGACTATCCCGATCAGTTTTTGTGTTCCCTTTCCAGAAACGACTACTTAAGCGATATGATTCGTGGGAGTGAGGCAGGCCGAAGTATCCAAATAAGGCCGAAGTAGACCTTGGACAAACCCCAATAAGGTCCTGGAAGAGTTTGGAAGATCTAAAGGACTTGGAGTCTAAGTTTAGAAGCAAACATCCAAGGCAGGGGCTAAAAGCACCAGCTTTTTCAAACACGTCCCAGCATTTGTTTGGCCAGTTGTGTGAGCAGGAAACTCAATTGGCCAAGAACGTGAGGTGTCTTTGTGAATTGCTCTGTTTGCTGTCGGTTGCGATTGGTGGTTCAACTCAAACAAGGTGTTTGGTCATCCAAGGGACACAGAATTCAATCCGTCTCCAGATGCAAGCATAGGCCTTTGAAGTAGTGCCGTATACTGGAAGTTTATAGTGCCTTGCTGTGCCAGGCAAAATACACGACATGCTAGATTTAAAACAGCTCAGTTGTATACATTGCTTGGGTTTGTCCTTTTTGTATACTGTACTAATTATAGCTATATACCTGTAACAGTCAGTAAACAAGCAAATCTCAATTTTAGAGAAAGGCCTGCAACTGAACCATCATCATCATCATCATCATCATCATCATCATCATCAACCACTGAGCCCAGGGAATAGGATTGAATATGATGGAATAGGATATATACTCAGTATATCTCAATATTACTCAATAATACTCAATACATTGCTTCCTTGTTGTTTTTCATTGGATGTGACGCATTTTTCCAGATTTCCTCGGAGAGGCCCCTGGATGAAGTGCCAGAGGTGCCGGTTGGCCAGGCAAGTCGCTCTCAGGGTCCACCGGACACTTCCTGGCATTTTTCTTGGATTGGAATCGATTCAGATGTCATGATGTGTCTTGGGTATGTAATTGTGCGGTTGTCGGTGATCCCTCAATTTTTGTTGCGACATCTCGCTTTCAAGCAAGTGTAGTGTTCAGCAGAAAGCGAGATTCTCGTGGAACATCCTGGAGAAAAAAAATCAAGATTGTCGTGGACATATATGTGAACAAGTGACCTGAGGACCTGGTCGTAATCAGCTGAGTCGTGATCTGGGGAAGAGAATCTCCTGTGGAGGTCAGAGAAGATGCTGGCAACAGATCTGAGGGCCAGTGGTGACATGACAACAATTCCTGGATCTATACTTCATGAACAAAGCTTCATCCACCAAGTATTTGATTTTTCCGTGGGTCCGAACCATGTTCAATCACCAAGTTCAACAGGCCGAACCAACTGCTTCATGCTTCACAGACTTGTGGGGCCCACTCTCCCCACCGTCTGGAAGGGAGACGGCAGTCTCCGAGACGACTCGGCGGGGAGAAAGAGGCGTCGTCTTGCACCGATCTACGCCGCGACGTCTTCCGCTTGCCGTGGCTTTTAGAGGCGTTGACATGGGCGTGTTGACGAAGAAATCCGATGTTTGTGGTAAAACTAGTGGGTCTTGGTGTGTTTGCATCCGTTTGGTAGGTCCTGGAAGCCAATGACCTCTCCGTACCATGCAGGATGTTGCTGTGGAACTTGGCATTTTGGCAACATAGTCCGATCTACGCCAATTCTTTCCTGAAGATAGAGCTGGTTCTTACTATATAATACATACGCATGCACAAAAGATAATATATTATAATATATTATATGTCTTACGCCCAATGAACCATGGTCCCACTGATGGACAACATCCTGCGTTAAGTAGCTAAGGTAAGGCTTCTCTCAACAATCATAAGGAATCTCATATATACCTAGAACCTGGGTGATCCTTTTTTGGATCACCAACCACCCCAAATAACGACCTTGCTATCAAAAAACAGAGGTCAAATGGACTCTACTGTAGGTATTTGTTAAAAGAAAGGTGTTAACCGAGACTTCCTGGCCTCCATTCCTCGCACCGAGGCTTTATTCCTCGACTGAATTCCGGCTGGCCCCCAGCGAAGGAGGCGAGAAGTGGTGACGGACTGGGAAAGGGATCGTTGTTCTTCCAAATCTAGTGGATTGAGAGTAGATGGCACAGACCCCAAGAGGTGGTTTATATAAACCAACATGCCCCCATGCAAAGGACATCTTGAGGTCTGTGCCATCTACTCTGAAACCACTGTATTTTCTAGAAAAAGAAGCTGGGTCACATCCAAATATTCGTTTCTTCCAGTCTATGGGAATTGGACTGGGTGAGATCCAAATACTTTTTTTGTTGTACGCCTGGGTCATTCTCGGCACGAAAGCAAGATGATGTGTGCCTGGGGCAGACGGTTCAACTAATAGCAGTTGCTTGCAGTTTGCAGCCCCTCACGCAAGAACTCGTCCCTTTAGAGACACGGTGTTTTACTAGAAACAAAACACATCGCGGGAATGTTGATTTGGTGATGGCATCGGTGACCCCCATCTCCATCCTTCAAAACCGAGGGGGATTGTGGTGATGTCCGTCGTTGCTTTGGCGAACTCCTAAGGGTGAGGGGCAGACGCTTTGCGAGAAAGGACAACTGTTTGTAGGGTTTTCCTGTGCCGTAGTTTTTGAGCCTTTTCGTCTCACTCATGTCGTTCGCCACACCGTGGGCCACACTGGCCGCGAGGTGAGATTGCGCGAGTCCTTCCCCAAGTCAGGTGGGATCTGAACCTGAAGGATGCGAACATCCTGATAGGAGACCCGGGCACAGGAACCTGAACC